CTCTAGTCTTACACTGCTAAATTAGGGACTGCTAGCGCAGATAGCCCTCGTGTAGCTTTGCGCGAAATTCAAAACAAACGAACAAACATATCTGTTGTAGTTTACGTAACTGCTTAGTTTTTGATACTGATTGGCCTGTTGAACGTTTATGATTAACTTCATGTTCATTCAGTTTAATTGGAGAAATATAATTCGATGTACAACAGCAGCTCAGCCATTCGATCTTGGCCTAAAATGACAAGAAACACGAAACTTTAACTAAAAATACATGGTAATAATATAGTTCTGGGTTTTATCTAAAATTATGATAAATCCTATTAGCCAAACACGAGTGATTTGAGTTTAAGTTTAATTCACTGGTGGGGTAAATAGTGTTCAAAAGTTATTTAGTTGTTGTATATTCCTTTTCATGGGAAAGGCTTTTCTTTCTAGTTTTCTACTGGCAATTAATCCGAATGATATTGCGTGCTTTACTTATAGTGATTAACAAGATGTATTGTTTTAAGTATAAAACAATCACATTTTCTTGATATTTACTGCTTTTTGCGTATGTGTTTTTTCTTTTTTTCTCTAGTATCCGAACAAACTTAACTTTGGACACGCTTTTTTTAATAACCCAGATGTTGTATGCGAATCAGCGGCGAGAATTCTGTTTGTTAATGTTCGTTGGCTGAAGACGGTTCCTGCTTTCACTGGACTACCAATCAGAGATCAGGTAGGTGGGGCTTACGTCAAAACGTTCACAAATGGCTGAATTTGTCTATTGAAACTATTGTCATATAAACCATCACTGGAACACGAAAAATCGTAATTTGGGAGAAATTAGGGTCCAGAGCCAGACTAAAATTCTCGAAAACTATGTATATTATTTTAAATTTAAAATGTGTAATTGTTTATTAAAACTAAAATTATTTGCTACATAACCCTATTTATATTTTGTGTATAAATCATTTTATTACAACAACAACAACAACAAGGTGCGAAGTAAAATAAAGCTGTAAGTTATTTCATTATTTTTAAACACCTCGCAAGTCCATTCAGTGTTGTTATTAATGTTGCTACTAATTGCAAGAACTTATTAATAAAAACAAGGAAAATTAATGTAATAATAATAATATGTCAACCACACTGTAGCTACAAAATTCAGTGCCAACGAGACTTTACGCCTCAAACAAAGTCTCACCAGGCCGGCTGGAATATGACACAACAATAATTGGTTGAGACGCTATTTATATCATCAATTTCAAGAAGAACATCTGTTACGGCACGAAGTTTTAGCAATGGTAGAGGAAAAGTGGTAGTTGAAGCTTCACGAGGGACCCGATGTTTACTTACATACGTAGTGTATTAATTAGAATCTTTCTGCTCATCTAGCTTGTAGTTAAACAAAATAATGGCAATATGGATATATTATCACAAATATCTTTGTGTTCGATATTCACTTATAAAATGTATCGATCCCATCACTGTCTCTGACGTTAATATTATTTTCTTGTCATTTATAAAATATCCCTTTTGAAGCAATATCCTCTCATGTGATCTCTTTGTTGTAAACTGCACATATATATATATATACTCATGTATATCTGTAAAATACTTGTACCCGAAGATGACAAAAGCTTTTTTCATTACCCAGTCAAGCCGTCTCAAAATGTGTATTTCCTTTTTCAGCTACTTCTGTTTGAGGAGGGCTGGCGGGAGCTTTTTGTTCTTGACGCTGCCCAATTCATGTTACCCCTAGAAGTCGGACCATTACTAGCTGCTGGAGGTAATGTTGGTAGTTTTTTTCGTTTCGAAATTATTTAAAGTCGTTAACGGTTTGAATCTTTGATTATTCGTTAACTGAAACAGTTACGGACTGAAGGTAACGTATCACTAACGAACCTCTTCAGATATCAGTGATATATAGAAATGTGGAATTTTATTTCTAAGTTAACCAATAAAACACTGAATCCCATTAACAGAAAGCAAAATAAAATGTAATTTTATACATAATATAACTGAATCGCTAAATTTTGTGTGCGAATTTCGTAAACTATAGTTTGTTTGAAACATGCCATATAGTTGAAAGAGATATAGTTTGTTTGAAACATGCCATATAATTGAAAGAGATATAGTTTGTTTGAAACATGCCATATAGTTGAAAGAGATATAGTTTGTTTGAAACATGCCATATAGTTGAAAGAGATATAGTTTGTTTGAAACATGCCATATAGTTGAAAGAGATATAGTTTGTTTGAAACATGCCATATAGTTGAAAGAGATATAGTTTGTTTGAAACATGCCATATAGTTGAAAGAGAGAAATAACTCTTTAGATTTCTGATGAAATAGGTTGACTTTAGAATATCATGGTCTAGCATCTGATTTCCTTGTAACAAATGTATATTGTACGATCACTATAACCACTGTATATACAGGCCTATAGAAAATTATGCGATGTTACCATTCATTTTCTTGTTTTTCTATGCTTTGACATATTTTAATTTTTTAAAACATTTGATAATGAGTGGTTATCGGTGAAAGTTGTCTAATTATTCCATATAATGTCCTCCCACTCTCTACAGAAGAACTTGGGTGTCTTCTGTTTTGTATGTATACATATCTTTATGTATTTCAGTATACGATATCAAACGTTCTTTTTTTATTCTCAGGATTAAGTAACGAACCTGCAACTTCTGAAAAGGTGATGAACTTAATGACCGAGATTCGTAGTTTCCAGGAAATCATAGCCAAGTTGAAACATTTGAATGTCGACCCCACCGAGTACGCATGTCTGAAGGCAATCGTGTTATTTAAGACAGGTCAGTATCAGCCAATCAGTTTTGCAGCTCGTACAAACAAATTTAATGACTTACGTATGTTAATCGGCCCATGGTATTGTATCCAATTTCAAGCATTTGCTTGTTTTTATGCCGTGACTACTGACAGACAACTAAAATACGATCACTGTGCTATATTTGCTGTAAAATTATATAATTCAAATATCTGGTTTAACATAATATTATGAGGCTTAATGGGCGACAACTTCGGATCAAAAGTGGGATTTTGGGACAAAAACCGGAATCGAATTGGAGTTACAAATAATGAAACGAAACACTTATCTTTCTTTCAACCTACCTGCCTATCTATTTCTTTCAGTTTTATATTAAGGTCAGAGGATTCTTTTACAAGTAATATATCACCGACCTGGTTGAATATTTTGCTTCATAATTTTCATTAATTTTCTCTACCTTTCAGTATCATACACAGAGAAAATAAATAAAAATTGGTGTAAATACTGTTATCTGTGTGTGTATGATACTGAAAGGTGGTGTAAATACTGTTATCTGTGTGTCACACACAGATAACAGTATTTACATCAATTTTTATTAATTTACTCTTCTTTTCAGTATCATACACACACAGATAACAGTATTTACATCAATTTTTATTAATTTACTCTACCTTTCAGTATCACACACACAGATAACAGTATTTACACCAATTTTTATTTATTTTTAATCTAGATTTTCAGTCAGGAGGAGCTGAGATCCGTGGCTTGCGAGATATCCACGTGGTGGCTTCACTTCAAGACCAGGCCCAGATGACTCTGGGGAAGTACGTTCAGACGGCGTACCCGTCCCAACCATTTCGCTTCGGCAAGCTTTTGCTCACGTTGCCGTCTCTTCGGTCTGTGTCCGCTAAGACTATAGAGGATCTGTTCTTCCGGAAAACGATCGGAAGTATTCCTTTAGAACGGTTGCTATGTGACATGTACAAGAGTAGCGATTTCTGACCACTGTGAACTTGCCTAAGGAACGATCGTGCCTGCACTATGAACTGATTATAATAACAACAATTAAATTGTAGTCTCAGACTCAACACGCAATCAGTGACATTATTTAACGTGATTCTTGGTCTGTTTATATAAAAAAAGAAAAATAATCATGAATAGAACTCAGAAAGTCAGAGTTGCTGTTAAAACCCTGTTTCAGCAACGTGCATTTAGTAGAACCTGATTTCAAATAGTATTTTAACCTATATTATTATTCAGATCGTACGAGAAATTGTATATATTTTGCGTGGAAAGAAAATAAAAATGATAAGAATGCATATTTTTTATTTTCTAAAACACTTGAGAATCAGGGGCTATCAGTTGTAATTGTTTAATTGTTCATCAAAGACATAGCGCATAGTTATTTTCTATTTTATATAATATGTATGTTGGTCAGTATACACACACACACACCAGAAAGCCTTCTTTATATTTTAACTTTTTAACATGATCATATACTATTTTGCAATGATTTTCATGTGTTTTGTCTTAATGTAAATAGGTGCTGTAAAGGAATAAAAATTATATGAGATTTGAGTGTTTTATTAGTGTGGTTGCATAAATAAACCTTACAAATTTACATAGTTACATTTTCTCTCAACCTTCTGCTAGATGTATATGTACAATTTAAGAAAGTAATACAGATTTACAGAAATGGTTTTATGTAACCTCGTGTTATACACAAAAGGTGTGGAACGGACAATACTTATTTAGAAAGTTTTTTTTCTTCTCAAATTCATACTAGACGTTTATGTTAAACTTGATACGAAAATACTGATACCAAATTATTTCTATGTAAATCTCATGTTATATGCGTAAAACAATACTGATTTACAGAACTATTTTATGTAATCTCGTGTTATATATGAAAAGCTTCAAGAAACAATACTGATTTACAGATTTATTTTTCTCCAGCCCTCCTGCTAGGCCTGTTAAAATAAACTTGAGCTAGGAAACAATATTGATTTACAGGCTATTTTTTCTCAACTTCATGTTAAACGTTTATATTAAACTTAAGATAACAATACTGATTTACAGTTACTTTTCTCTCAGTATCCTGTTAGATGTCTATAAAAATTGGGAGAACACAAACGGTTATTTTAAACTTAAGATAACAATACTGATTTACAGTTACTTTTCTCTCAGTATCCGGTTAGATGTCTATAAAAATGGAGAGAACACAAACGTTTATATTAAACTTGAGATAACAATGCTGATTTACAGTTACTTTTCTCTCAGTATCCGGTTAGATGTCTATAAAAATGGAGAGAACACAAACGGTTATATTAAACTTGAGATAACAATGCTGATTTGCTGTTATTTTCTCTGAGTATCCTGTTAGATGTCTATAAAAAATTTAGAGTTATTTTTTCTCAACCTCAGGCTATACGTTTATATTAAACTTGAGAGAACAATACTGATTTACAATTATTTTCTCCCAATTTACTGCTAGATATATATAACAAACTTAAGAGAACAATACTGATTTACAGAGTTATTTTTATTTATGTAATACACATATATATGTATACGTATACTAAACTTCAAAAAACTGTAGTAACAGACAAAGTTATTTTTTATACAAATCTCAAACATAGATATAATTATTTACTAAACCGCAAAATGTTGATCTCTTTTTTTTTACCTTGATGAGTTATTGTTTGACCTAGCATCAATCTCATCTATCGTACATATAAAAAAGTCAGCGGATATTCCACATAGATATTTAATTCATTAACACAAATCGTTATTACAAGGAAGGATGTGACTAATGTGTTAATGCAATCAACTTTTAAAACGTTGTTCTGTCACTGAAATTGTAGCTACGTTAATAGTCACTGCTGGGCATTATGCTAATAAAAGTTTGTTTGTAATCGAATGTGAATCACTACATCTTATCAATATAATGTATGAAACAAAAACTTTTTTTTCCATACAGCTGTAAAAATTAGGTTGCAAGTCCCTGTACAAAACAAAAAAATTCAAAGGTATGCGGTACAGCATTAACAAAACAACTATATATATAATTGGTTTAAGCTAACAAGAAATATTGTTGCTAAAATGATACTGATTCATGCTGCTACATTTACCGATTTTCACAATTACCAACATAGAGCAGGACTCATGTTAGCACATTTTAAATATTTTTACGACCGCTGTTATGATACTGATTCATGCTGCTACATTTACCGATTTTCGCAATTACCAACATAGAGCAGGACTCATGTTAGCACATTTTAAATATTTTTACGACCACTGTTATGATACTGATTCATGCTGCTACATTTACCGATTTTCACAATTACCAACATAGAGCAAAACTCATGTTAGCACATTTTAAATATTTTTACGACCGCTGTTATGATACTGATTCAAACTAACCAAAATATATATTTTTGTATTGTTACTTAAATGATATCAATTCATTTTATTACATCACAAAAGGCTCCGCTTCGATATTAACATGAAACCGATTCATGTTAGCATATCACATACATTTTTACATAGGTATTAACATGAAATTGATTCATGTTAATACAATGAAGAGTTATCCAGATTATCACAAGTACTCGAATGATATTGATTTGAGCTAACTAAATACACATTTTCATGCTATGACCAAAATATTTTGATTTATATTACTACATTTTTCTGAAATGGTACTCATCTATGTTAACCCAGCGAACACACATTTTACTGTTATTAAATCTGGTTCGGGTTAACATATAAACTAGATAACTTCCTCAGTGACACATTACAAAAAAACATGCATGCGAAGAAACCTAGGCTGAGGGGGGTGGGGGATTATATTTCCTTCACTCACGAATTTTCTCCATTAAAATAAAAATAACCCCCTTGGCAATGCTCTTTATAGTTGTAAGAATACCAAACAGACGCTACTATTTTATTTTCTCAAACAATGCTGATAATATTTTACGAACTGGTTGAAACTTTATCTAATGGTGGCATACACGCTCTGATCCACATAAAACCAACTGCTGTACAATAAACAACGCTCTAAGAAAATAAAATTCTATGTTAATTCGTTATGTGGAATATTTCCCTCGTATGAGTGACTTCTTAATATCAACTTTTAGATAAGTATAATACGAAGATTTTGAGTATGCACACACGAGTGCAGCCACTGTGACCGAAGAGGATATAAGCGGTCACCCATAGAGTTGATATAAGTGATACAGCATTACTTCTGTTACATCGCAATAGCAGTAGTATATGGTTTGTATCGTTTACAGGAAACAATACATGGCTGTTGTTTATTTTTGTTTCCATTGTTTAACACCGTTTTATTACTGTAAATAATTTGGTATCGGTTTCGCTACACGGCAACAGGTAACTTTCAGTTCAATGCCTCAGTAGTATATGGTTTGTATTGTTTACAGGAAACACGTGGCTACTGTTTATTTTTCGTTTTTAATGTATGACATTATCTTATGGCTATAAAACTCAGGTGGATTCATAATTCACGTTACATTTCCACAAAAAAGGTTATAAAGAGCGACACTATTCGGTCAGATAAAAATATTCCAAGATTTGGCGGTGAATGGTATTTACCAGCTGCCTTTTCTTTAATTTATCAGTTCAGAATTAATGATTGTTACACGTAGACAGCCTTTGTGTAATTTTACGTGAAACAAACAAACAATCAAATCAACTATAAAAATAATCTTTAACGGATATTCTGACGCAGACACGCACGTAATTTTATCTTATTTGCTAATTGCCTGCTTGTGACTAAATAGTATCCGTGATTAGTTGATAAATACTTCTTCAATAAAGCTTTCTACTGACAGAGTTCTATTATTGCCACGCCTACGGTCATTTGCCTGTATTTAGGCTTTTCCTTGGGACAGTATCTCATATGAAGGTTTTAGTCCAAGCTGACTTTTCATTAAGATGTTCATATAGAAACACCTATCATGGGTGCTAGAAACGGCTAAAAGTGTTTTCATAAACTGATAACCGTAAGTTTGTCTGTTGTTAAGCCCAAAGCTGCACAATGAGCTATCTGTGCTGTGCTCTCCACCGGTATAGAAACCCGACTTCTAGCGCCTAAGCGATTTGTTTTGTATAAATACAGTACGTTTACCAGACAGTCCGTTATGTATACTTGCATGGAAAAAGTTCCATATCTGAACACCTTTTTACCCTCACAACAAAGAAAGTGAACGAAATGGAAAAAAAAAAATCACAGGTAAATTTGCTACTTAAACGATATCCATAAAGTAAAATTAGGGTGCAAATAAGAAAAACACACCAATCACAATAATTACAATATAAGAAGTAATTATATCCAGATTTGGAGCTCCGAAATATCGGTGACACAATCATTACACCCTGATACGGAACTCTGGCATATTGTGACATAACTCGAACACCAAAGTACTACAAAAATCTGGAACATAAAGAAAAAAACTGAACTACAAAAGAACAAATGGCAGGAAAGTTTAATGGCTAAAATTTTCCTATAAAATAAAATAAAGCTGAAAATAACAGCAACAAAAGACCAAAACAATAATTACAATATCAAAAAAAAAATTGCGCCCGATAAGGAGTTCTGACATATCGGTGACACAATCATTGCGTCCTGATACTGAACCTTGCATATCACTGAAACAATTCTAACACCAAAATATCATAAAAAAATCAAAAACACAAAGAAAAAGCTACAAGTCAACAACTGTCTGGTACGTTTAATAGTTAAAATTTACCTATGAAAATAGCAACAATAAAAAAAATCGACCACAACTTCAGCAGTACAAATTGCGTTTCGATATATAACTTTTTCCGTTACATTAAAATATTGCATAGGGAATAATCCTCTAAGTTCAGTGGACCGAGCGTGGCCCAATGGTTAGCGTGCGAGACTATGGATTAATATAGGCGTGCGTCCCGTTACCGAAAAAAAAAACAAGAAAAAACCGCACTCCGTACTTTAGACCGTGGGTACGTTATATGAGTGATGGTGAAATCCCACTATCCGGTCAGAAAAAAAAATCTAATAGTTGGCGGTAGGTGCCGTTGTCTAACTGCCTTCCTTCTAGTCTATTGGTTCAAAACTATGAGCTGCTAACGCAAATAGCCCTTTTGTAATTTAGCGCAGATATCCGAAAACGAAACAAAACAAACATAAAGTTAAAAATGTATAGCAGAGACGGCTAGTATGGGTATTAAAAACTTTAATTAAAATATAGTACAAGAACAACGTTTCGACCTAAAGTTGATTTCACCCTCTTTAATGTACTCGACTGAAGAGTCACCTACCGGCAATATGTACACCTATGCGAAACCTTTTCTACTATGAATGAGACCCCGGCATGGCCAGGTGGTTAG